CCACCAAACATTAACAAACAGTTTCACTTATGTATATTTCTTCATAGATCTTCTCTATGTGCCTGACACATACCTACAAACAAAAGACATTCAAATTTGCTTTCTGGGGATTTGGTCCAGTCCATGCTCCCAGTTCAGGGGGCCCAAGTTTCATCCCTGGTCAGGGAACTAGATCCCACATGCTGCAACTAAGAGTTTGCATGCTGCAATTAAAGATCCTGCATGTCACATCCTGAATGCCACAACTAAGACCCAGCACAACCAAATAAATAAGTATTTTAAAAATTCCTTTCCTGACAACAGCATGTGGAAAGGACTCTTAAAAATTATTTTGTCAACAGGAGTTTTCATTTGGCTTATTAACATTTGTCATATAAGCCTTAAGGTTATAACATTCTACATTCAAACACCAGAGAAGAAGGATGATGAAGATCTCAGAGTACTGCAATGAAAGCACCCAGAATCCTCTTTGGAGTGAAATGAAAATAAGCAAATAAAAGAGAGGAATGCTTTTACATAAATCTAGCCTGTGCTCATGGACACAGGGCATATAGTCAGTTCTTGTACCTTTGGTCAGTTCCTAAGAGCTAAAGGAACAGTATTTGAACAGGACTCTGATCTATGTTGACCACAGCCAAATAGTGTTCTTATGGAGATCTACTGTTCTTCCTGGATTCCATCTTCCATGAAAAGAAGAGTATGATTGTATTGTAGAAAAACACCTGGAGATTTCTAATCCTGGCGTCCTTCTGAACATCTCTTTATGTAATGAAATCTGTGAAGTATAAATATGTTGACCAGGAAATTCACTTCAATTTAAATGTACATGAAGAAGATTAAGAATAACTTAAAATATCATAATAGTTGATAGCTGAATCATTTAAGGGTGCCTTTTCCAACAAAGTTACGAATCCTGCATGTTATCTTCCTGCATTGCAGGCAGATTCTTTACCAGCTGAGCCACAAGGGAAGCCCCTTTAAATTATTAATAACCATTTTAGTTAGAAGCATCATTCAAACAGTAGACACGAAGCCTTTTACTTCCAACTAGGGTCTGATGCCACATACAAAACAACCCATACTGTGCTAGTTCCCCAGTATCAGGTAGGCAATGCCATTATAGTTCTGAGGGTACAGGGCAGTTACAGAAAAGGATTCTCCAAGACTCCATGACAAACTATGGGATTTCACATCTGTAATTTACCAGAATCAGTTTAGGTTGCTGGGTACAACCAAGTGTTTAATAAACACTAGGCCTTCTTGGATTTAGAGTCTGAATTTAAAATTCTAATCTAAATACTATAAATGAGTAGCATTTTTACACACTTACAATGGACTAAAATCACAGTAAGCTTAGTTCATTCTGATTTTTAAAATTCATATGGAAGTTTACCACCAGACTAAGTTTAGATAAACTGTAAGATTCCATTTTAATATGCACCAAAACCAACAATAACAACCCCTCTCCACATCCCTGCCCCCCCCCAAAAAAAAGCCCCAGACAAAATAACTCTTCCCTGTCTAACTGCATTCTGTTAAATACTTTTGAGTTCACCAGTCAGGACCCTCCGATTTCGCACATGACGGAAGGGAGACACAGGGAAGTCAGTGATTTGTTTGAGGTACTTGGACAGAAAGGCAGAGCCCTGCCCACTGCAGCTGGTCTGGCGTTGTAGGAGGAGGCACTCCCCAAAGGAATATAGAAGTCAGTCCTATAGCACTTCTATTTCTGAGGCTGCCTTACAGGCTCACACTTCGGGGCTTGCACCCTTAACAAACACTCATTACAGAATAGAGAACTGCATCCTAAAAATCAACTGTCTAGCTAAAAAAAAAAAAAAAAAAGTATGAACGTGCATGTTGAAAAAAATGCAGCATGATCAGGGTTCTCATGAAACCCAGAACTCTCTTCAACCCAAACTGCTTTTCAGTCATTGGACATCACACATCTCTTATGTAGTTTACTGTAAACCTTAGGCAAATCATGAATTTTATGCTCTGATTTGACTTTCCAAAAATATTTTCCCTTGTGGCATTTAAAAGCATACATTCTTAGAGTACATAAAAAAGAATTTGCCAGGCATTTTTTTCTTCTATAAACATTGTTCTGTTCTTTTTTTCTAATAGGAATAGTTGAAAGTTCCCGTGATAAGTGTCTTGACATTACGATACATATGATACATTTGATACATATCACTATCAGATAAAGCTGTGCTATTTTCCCAAAAGAGAAGCCAGGTATATTTTCTCTTACAGGTATTTAACATATGATAGATTTATCAATATAACAGCACTTAATTTTTGAGGTAAAGACCCATCCTTTCACTTGTACCTTTAATTTAGGAAAGTCGACTCTTAACACTGACCGTACGCTATATACCCTCTATTAAATATTTGTAATTTTTAAATGACTTGTATCATGGTATAAGATCATACCAAATGTTTTAAGAAATTAATGACTTTGATATCCAACCTCTAAATTGAATCAGACTTCTACCAGAAAACAACCTCTTGAATTATACAGAGAAATGAGATCAGGGAGATATTGTCATAAGACAGACTATTACTCAAGCAGAAGGTGATTTTGCTCACATCACAGAGCAAAAAGTTCTATTAGGCAATGTTACAACTCCAAATAATGCCAGATATTATGAATATTTAACAAAGAGGTACTTAGGTTAACAGAGCCACAGGATAAATATATTCATTCTAATTCAGCTTTTTTGGTGTGTCTACAGTACTTTATCACTGATTTCAGTGAAGAGTGGATTCTTAGAACCAGGTACACATCTGATTGCACGTGTAAGTAAATACTCAAGGATCCGTCAAGTGGATGGAAAGAGTGAAAATAAAGACATTTGCTTGTTCCAATTGCCCCCTATGGGTTACACAACTTCTACACTTGATCTTAACCAAAAGGCTGAGAAGTGATGACTACACGGCTTCTAACAGGTTGTTTCTATAATAGATTCTGATGAATCATGAACCAAAACACCTTCATAAGAACAGTCACAATTTTATAGATCAAAGAATATATTTAGGGCTTGGTTTTTAGGGATATTTTCCAACACTGGGTCAAAATATGTCCCAGCCTGAGAGACATGAGGTGACAGAGTCCATGCTATGTCCCAGGTGGATGAGAAAGTGTGGAGTTAGAAAACTTCCTATGTCATTTCTGAAGGTATCCTGGGAAGGCAGGTGTAAAAAGAAATTTACACAGCCCAATTCAGATTCACCCAGACTGGATGAAGCAGGAGGAATTCCTTTTATTAGTTATTGTTGCAGAACTCTTAATCAGCCTAAGAGTTTGTGGATCTTTTAAAACCATTATCACAGAAACACACAAACAGGTCCTGTGGTTTAACTATCTGTGTGTTGAGGAGTGGGACTGGGTGAGCGAGGCTGGGAGAGTGGTCCATAGGAGTGAGCTGTTGGTACTGATATTTACTTTTGACCCTTGGCCCTTCAAACTGCCCTGTGAAACACTGCCCATTCCCTCCTCCGGGTTCTCTTTCTCCCTTCTGGGGTGAAAAAGAGAAAAAAAAATTTTTTACCACTTTTCAGCCGAATCAGTTTCTGGGCTTTATTCCAAATTATCTTTAGAGTTAAATGCATCTGTTTTCTCAGTCTTTCTTCCCCAACAATGCTCTCTCTGAACCACAGGTGGGGAGTTGGTGGCATTGCTCAGGCAAATTCCAGCCTGGGACCTAGGGTGTTTTCCACATTTCCTTATTTATTGCCACAAAGAGGCTGTGGCCACTTAACTTCTGTCATCTACACCTGTGGTTCCAATAGTTTATGCTATGATCTCCTGCCTTAAGAAGACAGATTTTCAAAATAAATGGAGATGTTTGTTTAGCAATCTAAGTATGTAAGTAAAGATACCATGTATGACTCACTGGCAACTGTATGAACTTGTGGCCAAATGTCTTTTACAAAAAATCAGCTTTGATAGTACACAATGTGGTCATATGATTTTTTTAAACAGAAGATCTTTTTTTTAAGCTCCTTAATTTTGAAGTTAAAGCTGTTACTTACGTTCTAACCCACTCTCAGGGTTGACTGGCTCAAAACCTCTGTGTCCAGTGATGTCACTTGACCCTCTCAGGGGGGTGTCCAGGTCAGGGAGTTGTGCAGCTCCCTCCAAAGCCAGCTCTCCTACTGGCTAGCAAGCAAATTCCAAGGGATAGACAGGATTAAGGGCTCCAAAGAGGATTCCCCAGTCCTCCCCCAAAGGAGGATCAAAAACTCTGGTCTAGTTCTGGAACAAAAATAAGCCCCAGTCAAGGAGAAAGTGCCTGTTTGGATAGACTGCGTCCCTTCCCAAAGCTTGTGTCCCACCCAGGGAGTCATTTTCAGCAGGCAAGCAGGTGCAGAAGTGTGTAATGCTGCCCTGTAAGAATGCTCTTTGCATGAACTGCTATTTGCACACTCTCCTAAGCTTAGGCCCCAAAGGATGAAGGTAATAAAAACTTATTATTACCTCACATCTTATTACCATTTGCTTTCTTGTTCCAGGAAACAAAACCAACACACACAAACACAAAACAGCGCCCTCACCCCACTCTTCACTTCACCCCATCCTCTTTCCAAACTGCCTCTCTCCGAGAATGGGAATCACCCGCAGGAGTCGGGGCACCAGGCTCAGCCTCAGTGTAAACACGCCCCAGCAGCACAGGCGGTAAGAGGAATCTCAGGTCACTGTGAATGGTTTTCTATTAATACGGGATAAAGCTCTTGCATACATTAGCGATAATGCCCTGGTGGCCCGTGCAAAATTAACTCCTTCCGGGCCAGCAAGAAGGAAGCCACGTTCTGCCCAGACAGTTGTGTGCTTGAAACACGCGTACAAACATACACGTTACACACACTGTGCTTTAGAACCGCTCCCCTTAAACATGCCAGATCCCATTCCCATCCCTAGTCCAGGCGGTTGCAGAGGTTCTCCAGGGGTGTCCCTGGAGAGGGGTTGGTGGAGGCGGGGGCCCGTCGGGTACCGGTCAGCTCAGCTTCGCCACGCACACCGCCAAGGCTACAGCCACCAGCAGCACGGCGCTGAAGATGGTGGCGGCCTTGGCCTTGCTCAGGTCGCAGGGACCAGTGCGCTGTTCTACCGACACGCCGCCCACCGAGGAGACACCGGCGCTGGCGCTGGACAGGAGCTCGGCACCTGCCGCCTGCCGGGCCTGCACGGTCCAGCGGGGCACGTTGACCTTCATCTCCATATCCTGGATCATTTCGCCCACCTGAAGGATCTCCCGCTCCAGCTGGTGCAGGTCTTCCACGTCGAAGTCGCGATGCGCCTCGTGCCGCAGGCTGCGGACGCTCAGGGCGCGCGCCGCTACGCCGGTCGCCCCGCCTTCTACCCCTGTGCGCACCAGCGGCCGCCGCGGCTCCTGCAACGGAAACTCAGTGCCCAGGGCCAATGCACGCCGCATGTCGGCTTCCAACAGGTCCAGGCAGCCGGAGAAGGCCACCCAGAGGCGCTCGAATTCGGCGCGCTCCTCGGCTCCCAGGCTCCGGTCGCGCAGCGGGGCAGTCAGCCGGACGCGGATGGCCACCGCCAGCTCCTGCGCTTTCTGGCGCGTCTTCTGCAGCTCCTCTCGCAGGTTCTGCGAGTCTGCGGAGCCGCCGATGGTCAGCACCAGGTGGTGGTAGCATGCGGTCGCCTTATTAAGAGCGTCCAGTAGCGCTTTGCACTCCTCCTTCGCCATGGCGCTGCTTTCTCTCGCAGCCCGGCCGCCTGCGCCCCTCTCACCTTCACCCTCTCAGCGCAGCAGGATGCAGCCAGCCTCGACGGCGTTCCCCGGCCGGACGGCCCGAGCACTCCTCATGGCCTGAGAGGAGCTTGGCGCTGCAGCTGCTCAGGGTCCACGACATGCGCTTCCGCTGACCCGGCGCGGAGAGAGCCCCGTTAGCTGTTTGCCAATCCCTCACCCATCCTCCCGAGGTGCGCTCCTACTCACACGCCGAGTCTCTGCGCGGCCCTCGCCTCCACGGTAGCACCTGCGAAGCCCGTGTTGAGGTCCCCATCCTGCTCCCGTGCCGTCGCCAGGGCTAGCGGGTCGCTGAGCCACTCGCTCTGAGCGCCTTAGCCGCCGCCAAGGGCGGCCGGGTCGGGTTTCTTAGGATCCGCCCACCCCCGCCCGTCCTCGCTGGGCGCTCCCATCCCACGGACCAGGGATAGGCGGGGCCCTGCGCGGGGAAGTCACGTGCAGGTCCCCCATCTCCCCCTCCTCTGCACTCCATTACAGTCTGGAATATTAGCGCTCAGCAGATCCAACCCTCCTCTGTTTTTGAGAAGGGGAAACTGAGGCTCAGATTTAAAAGAGGGGAGGGGGATCAAGATCACGCCACGTGCATGTAAGTGATGAGGCTACAACTCAGGGGCTCTGACTCTTAGACCCAGCCAGCGACGGAAATAGTATGCTTCGTAGGACTGGACACCCCTGTCCTCCAAACCGAGTAGTAAAGGGCAATCTGCGGGGCGGGAAGGCTGCCCTATCTCCCCATCCTAGTCCAGCCCGCTTTCCAGCAACAGAGCTTGGACCCCACCCCTTGTGTCAGATGTGTCTTTCGGCTCCGCCCCCTCCCGTTCCAGGCAGGCGCAGTCGATGCCTCTGGGCTGGTCCAGTCTGAGTAGGAAGTGTTGCACGCCTCCTGAGCCCCACCCCCGGCTGGGCGGGCTCAATGATTGCTCTGAGCACGCGTCACTCTGAATAAAGACAGCTTCTCATTGGTCTGACCAGAGTCCTAGGGTGCGACTCCGCCCAACGGGGGTGGGCGGTGCAGCAGTTCTGCCGCGTTGGGGTGGTGGGCCCTGAGGTCTCTACCGAGGGGCCGGGAGGTATTGGTGCCACTCCTGGAAGGGCGGGGAGTGAAACTATGTAGCCTTTTAAGTAAGTGTCCTCCCTCCTGTCTCCTCCCGCGCCTCCCTTTCCTCGGGACGGCTGCGCCTCTGGGCCCAGAGGCCGGGCGGGGCCTCGGAGCGGAGAAGGGGGAGGGGCTCTTTCCTCCGCCGGCGCCCCAAGCTGGGCTGGCTGTCCCCGGGAGGCCCCCGAGGCCTGGGCCCATCGCGGAGTGGACTGCCGCGCCCGCACTCTCCAGCTCCCGTCCGCATCCTGGCTCGCTCTGCCCCTCGTGTGTGTTTGCGGGTCGAGGGGTGGGGTTGGCGAAGAATGCGCCCTCTGACTCCCGCGGCATCAGGACAGGTTAGCAGGGATCCCGGGAGCTCTGGGATCCCGGGAGCTCAGACTTGGGAGCAGCAATAGGCAGGGCCGTCGCTCACGGGCTGGGTGGCTTCTGGGGTTTAAGGGAGGCCTGGCGGGGCGGGTGGAGGGGAGGCTGTGGATGGGAGGCTGTGGATGGGGGTGCGGATCCTCGAGTCGGGCTGTCGTGGTCCCCGTGGTGATGGAGGCGCTGGGGGGAGAGGAGGGAATCCCTGCTAGCCTGCCTCTCATGGGGCGGGGGTCTCCTCTTCCTGCTGGGTTAAGATTACCCCGGGAAAACTATGAAGCACCAAGCGGTGTTCTGGATTCTGGGTCTGTTCAGTTCTTTTCGTTGAAAATGGACTGCCCATTGGAGCGTGAGCAAGGCCTTGCGGCTCTGGCCGCCCCTGGAGGTGCTGGGGACGTGGTCGTTTGAGGTCGTGCAGGGCCACAGGGAGCAAGTGGTGCGTCTTCCTTGAGGATTTAGGACATTCGGGGAATGAGGAAACTGTAGGGGACTCCTAGTTTGCCTTGGGAGCTGGAATTTTCCAAGTTTTGTGGGTGTCCGGAAGAGAGACCCCTATTTAGATTAAGTAATGCACCCTTCCACCAGCCCTAGAGAGGAGCAGCAGATGTTAGCAGGATATTTACATTTCCAGGCACCTTGCCAGGTTTGGCATTGAGGCAGCCGCCCCTGCCTCCAACCCCGTCCAGAGGGCTGGGTCCGGGGATCTCTCACGCAACAGTCTGTCCTTTAATTGGATGTTTCAGTGGTGATACTGTGGCCCTTGGCCATCTCAGCCACCTATGAGCCAAATGGGGCCTTGACCGAGAGCAAGAGTAGTTTTTAGGATAAAATGGGTAGAAGGGAGGAGAGCCCATCTCTTCCGGGAGCTCTGTGGACAGCAGAAGGAGATGAAGCTGCAGACATGGGCAGGAGGCCAGGAATAAGAGGGCCTCCATGCCAAGCGGAGAAGTTGAGAGTGCATCTAATAGGGAGTGCGCAGGTCTCAGTGTTGGAAAAATCCTGTCTTTCAGGTGGACAGGTTTGCAGTGGATCAAAGGTCAGGGCCTGAAGGCCTGGGGCGGGGAAGGGGGGTGAATGGCAGATGGGAGCAGAAACAGGTAGGTCTCACAAGTCCTAGTGGCAGAAAAGCAGATGGGGCCCTGAAGCTGGGTGGCCATCTGCGGTGAGTTCTCCTCACCTGGCCTTGTCACCTGTGATAATCCCACGTGGCAGCACTGCTGGGAGGGGGCAGTAGTGTTTGCCCAGGGCCTGGGCTCCAGGTCCTCATCCTGCCTCCTTGTGGCTGGTGGACTGTGTTGCTCTCATGAAGGCAGGTGCTGGGATTTGGTTCTACACATGTCTGCCTCTGTTAGTGTCTTTTTTTTTTTCTTTCAATGTGGACCTGATCTTGGCCAGGCAGCAGTAAGCAGTGGTATGGAGTGAGATCTTGATTTCCTAGCCAGGAATCGAACCTGGGTAGCCTGGATGAAAACCAGGAATCCTAGCCACCAGAACAGCAAGCACTAGAGGCTAGAAGCTATTTTTCCCTGACCTCTGCCACCAGTGCAAAATGCATTTCTCACGGAGCCAAAAATGTAAATGCAGGTACAAAGTTTACTAGAGACAAAGCATAACAACAAGTGTGAGAAAGCACAGAAAAATTGTTTCGTTAAGACAGAAGCGAGACAGAGATGCACACCCGGAGAGGAAGGGTGTGGACGTCCCCCGTCTTGAGGAGGGGCACAGAACAGAGGCAATTGTCATTTATATAGGACGGTTCTTCCGATTTTAGTATCTGTAATATCTGTGTTGCTGAAGCGAGCACAGGACAGTTCTTCAGGGTCTTTGTTTACCTTTAGCCGATTATCTGGTTTCTTTTTCCACACCTGAACTGCTCTAGGACCCTCCCCAATATGTGTGCAGAACTTTTTTCCAGGATGGATTCTGGCCCAGAGGTCTGTGGGATGCCCTTAACATCACATGTTATGGGGTGGTGCCCCCGCCTTTTTGACCTTCAAGGAGCCTTTCTGCACATGTGAAATATCTCCCTTGGCCCAAGGCCAGGACATACCTGATCTTTTAACAGGATTTAGTCTCACTCTGCCCCTGCCATAAAAATGCCCAATGTCTGGTTATTTACCCAATTCCTGTTGCTGGTTTTTATATCAAGGTGTAGATCTCGAAATATAGACAGGAGTCTAGTCATAAATATGTCATCCTGGAGCCCGTTTGTCTCTTGCTTCAGGAAATATAAACAGGGGGCTGGTGATGAATGTCAGGCCCGGAGCTCATCTTCTTCCCACCCCAGGAGGTGTGAATAGGCCAGTTGTAAATGCCTAGCCTGGAGCCCATCTGTCTCCTCCTCAGACAGTTTTTAAAGTCTTTATTGAATTTGTTACAATATTGCTTCTGTTCTGTGTTTTTGATTTTTTTTTTTTTTTTTTGGCCCTGAGGCATGTGGTATCTTAGCTCCCCAGCCAGGGATCGAACCTGCACTCCCTGCATTGGAAGGCAGTGTCTTAACCACTGGATCACCAGGGACACCACTGTTAGTGTTTGAGTCAGGGCTCTCCGTTTATGAAGTGCCAGGGTTAGGTTGGTGTCCAGTAACTTCCTCCTTCCCTAGAGGAGCAGGGGAATGTGACCACGTGATGCTAGATACCAGATCTGGAAAGGGTTCAGACACAGAGAGTCAGACACAATTTGTCCCGAGGTTGCTTCCATATCCGAGAGAGCACTGAGAAGTGGTCCTTGGTGCTCCTGCCCAAGGGAGTTTGGTCCAATGACTCCCCTGCATTGCCAGGAACAGGATGTGGAGTGGCTTTCTGAGGGGTAGCTGTGTCCTTCCAAACTTCCCTGCTTCCAGCCCTCTTCCAGCCCCGAGGCCTTCTCTCCTACTGTGAGGCTCCACATTCCAGCCAGCTCTGTGCTTAGCCTGCTCTGAGCACGTTTGGTTTTTGGCTTTTTGCCAGCGCTTGCAGGCCCAGCCCCTCATCCTCCCCTGCATGTGGGCGGTGGATTTCCAGCTCCTGGGAGAAATATAATCCCTCCCTGGGAGCTCGATCTTCCTCTAACACCTCACTGTCATTTTGTTCAAGTGGACCAGCAGTTATTGCACATCTGCAGGGAGTCAGGCAGCCAGGCTTCAAAGTGCTTTGAAGGAGAGTTTTGAGAAGCATATGGACAGGAGCCATAGACGTTAACAGAAGGACACAAGTGACTGTAATACCACACGTTACATCATCAAATTGCTTCCATTTGGTATTAGGCAGAGATGCATACCAAGTTTTCCCTTTCTGCCTTTTCCTTCTCAGTCACACATTAAGCCCGCTGGAGAATATTGCTCATCAACTGGAGAATACGCCTGGTCAGGGTCTGTGGTCAGGGCCCTGGGGGGGGAGGGGGCAGGAGCAGCCACAGCAGTGAGATTTCGGCAGGGAGTGCATCTCTGGGAGGTGCAGGCTTTCCTGGGCTAGCTTCTGCTGAGCTAGGCTGCACACTATCACCAGATGGTCCCTGATAACATAGACTCATCCGGGCTGGCAGGACAGTTGAAGACCACAAAACCACGGGTGTGCCACACCACCTCCTAAAATGCCCAGCACTGGGCTGAGGCCTCGCTTGACTCTCCTTTTCAAAATAACCTCAAATAATTCATGTGCAAGGGTATTTGGTACCTCTGACTAACTTCACTGGATTTTCTGTAAATCATTTCATCATTTGCACTTAAGAAAGTGTGGAATTTTGTGGGTATTTTTTTAAGGAGTTTTATATGAGGTTTCATACCTTTTTCCCTCACATGTGGTTTTAAAATACAAAACCAATTCTTGCAAGTAAACTTGTCAGATTATTTTAAAGCACATAGCCCTGTATAAGAATTCAGCTCTAGCATTAAGCATTATTACATATTAGTATTTTTATTTATTTATTTGGCTGTGCCAAGTCTTAGTAATGGCACACAGGATCTTCTGTCTTTGTCATGGTGTGCAGGATTTTTTAGTTTTGTTGTGTGGGAGCTATTAATAGTTCCCCGACCAAGGATCTAACCTGGGCCCCCTGCATTGAGAGTGCAGAGCCTTAGCCATTGGACCACTAGGGAAGTCCCTGATTATTACGTATTTTTAACACTGGGACCGAAAGGTCAAGAACAGTGCTGGGCAGAGTTCTCTGTATCCCTACTGCTGGACAGGATTCAGTCATTGGCAACCAGGAGACTGATGTCCAAGAGCAGGCGTATGACTTGGACTGAAAAACAGCCAGCTCTATCCCATTCACCAGCAGTGGGTGCTGAGAGTCTTTTCTGTTTACAGTTCATGCATTTGAACCCAGCGTTTTGACGTGACATTCAGGGCCCTTCCCTTCTCTTGCTGCCCCTCTCTGACTGTTCAGTCTGGATTCTTATTATTTCTCAGAGCTCATTTTCACAGCTGGTCAAGAAGAGTTTAGCCTTGAGTTTATTCCTGTGCTTCCCAGGAACGTGTTCCAGCCTCCTGATGCTTTGGCCCTGCTGTGGTCCCTGCCAAGGATGCCTCCCACACGCCCCAGCCCAACCCCATCCCTGGCACTGCTTTCTCCTTACCTTTCCTGGCACTCTTCTGTTTCTGGTTTTAAGTCTTCTTGCTTCCCAGCGAGGTGGTTCGTTCCTCCATCAGAGCCCACCCTTGTCACGTCTATCTTGTAGGCGTGGGTGCTCTGCCAGCATCCTGTCTGAGGAGCAGGAGGAGTGTCCCTTCTCAGCTTTAGTCTGACCTTGTCTCATCCTGTTTCTCGTGTGGTTTTTATCTAAGGCATCTTTACTTTTGTGCTCCGCCGTGTAGAACCAGCTGTGTCCGGAACCAGCACAGAACTTTGTGTTCTTGTGACTCTGCCCCAGCCAAATTATATTATCCAGTTGTTCTGGTAGGGACTCATAAAAGGATTATCTGGGCTCCAGTAATAGTTGCCTTCAACGATTTAAATACCTAAATGGTTGCAGAGCGGGCGGGGCGGGGGGGGG